AGGGTTGCGGTGCTCATCTCCGTTTCAAAGCTGAAGAGCCAGCGCTGTCTGAAGACGTTTCCATGGTCATGTGGCCGGCATGACTAAACACCAAGGCGCACGGAACGCTGTTACCTTCCCACCGAAGCGGTACCTATTTATCTACTTGCAATTTCTTGCTTCCGAACTGCTAGGTTAGCAGGAGCTGGAACTAGATGGGTTAGTAAGTTACCATAAATCACTTTTATTTTCCCTAGTGCTATTGATGGTTTAGCAAACGCTTCTATGGGAGAGATAGGATACAGGATGATCTTGACAGGCTGGAAAACTGGGCTAAAAGTAAGTTAATACATTTCAATGGGGATAAATGTAAAGTTCTGTATTTAGGTAGGAAAAATCAAATGCATAATTATAGATTGGGGGAGACTTGTCTTGGCAGGAGTATTTGCGAAAAGGATCTAGGGGTCTTAGTAGACCATACACTGAATACGAGTCAGCAGTGTGATGCGGTTGCTAAAAAGGCAAATGTGATTTTGGACTGTATCAACAGAACTATAGTGTCCAGGACACAAGATATGATGGTACCACTTTACTCTGCTCTGCTTAGACACCTAGAGTATTGTGTTCAGTTTTGAGCACCACAATTTAAGAAGGATATAGACAAGCTGGAACGTGTCCAGATAAGCACAATGAAGATGGTGAGGGGTCTGGAGACCAAGTCCTATGAAGAAACATTGAAGGAGCTGGATATGTTTAGCCTGGAAAGGAGATGACTGAGAGGTGATATGATAACCATCTTCAAGTACTTGAAGGGCTGCCACCTAGAGGATGGTGCAGAGTTGTTTTCTGTTACCCCAGAAGGTTGGACCTGAACCAGTGGGTTGAGATTAAATCAGAAGAGTTTTCGGCTAAACATTAGGAAAACCTTCCTGACAGTTAGAGTGGTTCCTCAGTGGAACAGGCTTCCTTGGGAAGTAGTGGGCTCTCCTTCTTTGGAGGTTTTCAAACAGAGGCTAGATGGCCATCTGACAGCAATGCGGATTCCTTGAACTTAGGCAGATCATGAAAGGGAAGGCAGGACGGGTTGCCTCAGTGCTTAGTTCTTGTGGCCCTTTTTACATGCCTAGGGAAATGCTGATTGCCACTTTGGAGTCAGGAAGCAATCCTGGAAGTTTTTTTGTCATCTTCTGGGTATGGAACAGCAGTCACTGCAGGTGTGGAGGGGGAGGTATTTGTGAATTTCCTGCATTGTGCAGAGGGTTGGACTAGATGACCCTGGAAATCCCTTCCAACTCTATGATTCTATGACTACCTCACAGTTTTGTTATCAATGGAATGAATGAAATAATCATTTGTAAGTGCATTGAGCCTTGCTAGAAATTAACCTAAATGAATTAAGACCAGAATGTTACGATGTGTACTAATTCTGGATGCATTCATGTAAATCCACGTTCAAAGCAAAACCATGAATGCATTTTCCAAGACAGTCACAATTTGAGGGCTAAGCTGAAATCCCAGTTTTGGGTCAGCATCGGTGGGGAGAATTATGTGAACGGAAAACCACTTCCCAGGCTGTTCATTTCACCTCCAGCATCAGCGTCCACTGGTGATGGGAACTTTGCAAGAGGTTGCATTTAAAGAGATAAACAGGATCTTTTAGGGATAATCTAGAAATTCAGTTAAAGCTGTCTTGCACTTTCTCTTCAGTAGTCAAACCTTTCATGCCTTGTAAAAGGGAAATAAAAAGCTCTGTCTATACTTTAAGTACACACACACACTTTGCTATCAAGTCACACCTGATTTATGGCAGCCCCCCCCCCCCCGGTTTTCAAGGTAAGTGACATTCAGAGGTGGTTGCCATTGTCTGCCGCTGCGTAGCGACCCTGGACTTCCTTGGTGGTCTCCCATCCAAATACTGACCAGGGCTGACTACACATACATATGCATAATGGACAAGTTTTAGAATAATAGGCATAGTGATGGGATATGTATATGTATGCTTATTATTCCAAAACTTAAGTTTTATACACTTACATGCATAGGAATAAATATCAAATGTCTGATTTCTGAAAGCCAGTTTGGTGTAGTGGTTAAGAGCACAGACTTTAATCTGGGAGAACCGGGTTTGAGTCCCCACTCCTTGTCAGGTTCAACAGCAAGCAAATCTCCAGACACGTTTCCAGGGAAGCGTTATGCTTTATTAAACTACAAGTCTGTTACCATGTCCACAAGATTATTGTTAGGAATGACCATGGGGCGGAAACATCCCTACATATAGCAGGATGAGGCAAATGGCTAAGCAAATGAAATCCGAGCGAGCGTGTGGGAATTCTCCCGGCGGGAGGTTACATAATAAGTGGGAGAGTCTCAATGCCCCATGAGAGCCGAACAATTCACAGCCATGGTGGAACACAAGCGCTCCTCCGGTCACAAGGTCAGACAGATAACACAGTCTGGCAGCACTGGTTCTCACGGCCTCCCTATCGCTGTTTACGGCAAGCGGCAGAGCAGCGAGCAAGCTAGGAGGCATGTGCAGTAGCGCCAGGATCAGAGAAGGGAACAAGCAAAACATGGCAGCTAGCTGACACTCCTCCACATGCAGCTGCTGGCGTGATTGTGGGTCAGTCTCAAGTTCTCTCAGAGCTGTTCTTTCACGAGAAGTTCTTGAGAGAGCTCTCTCAGCCCCCCCTACCTCACAGGGTGTCTGTTGTGGGGAGGGGAAGGGAAAGGAGTTTGTAAGCTGCTCTGAGACTCCTTTGGGTAGCTGAGACTCCTTTGGGTAGTGAAGGGTGGGGTATAAATCCAATCTCCTCCTCCTCCTCTGTCTATGTGTTAATTTGTCACAAATGTGGACTCTCGTTCTGAATGGAGCACTAATCAGGGTCAGGCCTCAGGATAAGATTCAGACTGCCCCAGCATCTGGCAACGGGTTCTGGCACAGGCATATTATTGGTGCAGATGTATTCTTTTGCCAGAAAGGTCTCTGTGCATCCCCATTTGACTATGGCAGGTTCTCCTTGAAAGGAGGAGGAAGAGGAGGGGGAGGAGTGGGGAATCGAACCTGGTTCTCCCAGATCAGAGTCTGTGCTCCTAACTACTACACCAAACTGAAAGCATTGTCAAGTCAGGCAGTGGAAAAGTTTGCCATTTTTGCTTGGGAAGTCCACTGCAGCCTGCTTAAGCTGGCCTCCCATCACGCTTTGTTTGGAAGTGGGGAGGGGAGTCCTGGAACCATTTACTCATCTAACTCATTTGGCTTTGCCTGTCTGCCATGTGCCATCTATGAGGCTGGCCTAGCCAGCCGACATACGGCCCTTCAATGTGACTACCAGGCTGTTTTTTGTTGCGTTTCATCCCTGTTAGGCCCTGGCCACCAGCTACAGGGATTGACTCTTATTGAGCTGTCTAGCTGCAAGACACAACATGGTTTGATCAGAAAGCTCACATGAACCGAATCAGCTCTGACACTTCAAGGTGCACACTGCAAATACAGCTATCCGCTAGGCCTAATGTTTGTCACAGAAATTTCCCCATCCTTCCCTCCACACCCAGCCCTACATGTACAGATCTCACAAATGCATTTTTGTCCCCCTCAGTTGTGCTTCCTTGATGCTGGCCACTAGATCAGAAGGATCGGTGGATTGTGTTCTCAGTTACCTGTATGGCAAGTTGACAGGAGAATGGGGCTCTTCAAACTTGATGGAATTCTAAGAACAGGCAGTGGATGCCACCACAAAATGGCTGCCATAGGTGCATGAGGGGGTGTCAATGGAACCAGTCACAAAATGGCTGCCATGGAGCTGGGGGATCAATGGAGCCAATCACAAAATGGCCACAATGGGTGTGGGAGGATCAATGGAACTAATAACAAAATGACAGGCATGGGTGTGTGGGAGAGTTTAGTGGAACTGATCACAAAATGGCAGCCATGGATGTGGAACCAATCACAGAGTGGTGGCCATGGATGGGAGGAGCCGATGAAACCATCACAAAATGGCTGCTATGAAGCTGGTGGATCTTTCCAGGCCAAGTATCTGTCTGTAATAGAGGCAACTGTTTCTAAATAGGTATTCACTGGTTGTCCCTCCCCCTGATAATGTACATGGCAAACTGAACATCTGCAATTAATCCTGTGTATATCTGTAGGCTGTTCCATGTGATTCGGGTCCTGATCAGGGTTCCCGCTAAGCTGAGTTAGTGTGAGATAGCTCACTGTTTTTTAGCCTCTGGTTCACACATTTTTGCCTTGGCTCAGGAAGGACGGCTCCAGAGCAAACTAATGTATGCAGCAGCCAAATCGCTCGCTCACCACTTTAATGCCAGTAGCTCACAAAGTAGAATATTTGCTCTCAAGACTCCACAGCTTAGAGGGAACATTGGTCCTGATCAAATGAAAATCCGAAGAGCATGCATTTATATGCATGGGAGGCTTTCTACCAGTGTTCAGCGGGGAATATGTAGACCAGGGTTCCCAATCTCTTTTTGCCTTTAGGCATCTTTGGAATTCTAACACAGGTTGGTGGGCGCAGCCACAAAATGGCCACCATGGCAAGCAGGGTCAAGTACAAAATGGCCACTGCAGAGCCACAAAACCCAAAGGAAGCCCAACTGCAGGGTTCAGGAGAAGTGATTTTTTTAAAAAAAATATGCAGTGGAAAAGAAGAGTGTGTGAGAGTGAAACCAGCACTAGGATGGCAGCTGCTGCAGGAACAATGTTATTTTAATGTGCACAACCCATCAATTCTCCAGTGGCCAGTGAGAAGTACTGCTGGGCAGGCACCCCCTGGTCCAACCCACTTTCTAAAAACACTTGGTGACTCCCAGAAAAGGTTTGGCAGGCCCCATGGTACTCAGGGGCACCATGATGGGGACCCCTGATGTAGACAATAGTAGGCAGGACCAAAAGGCATGATCTTGCACCTCTCCGTACTGGTCTGAACATCTGCAAAGCCATATATAGAAACATGTATACTTCTGCATTTGTTATGTGTTTCCAACATGTCTTTGTTTTCTCATTGCAGATCCTCTGCTTTGGACCTGCTTGGCTGATCAGGCTCTCCAGAGGCTGAACCTCTTTTCTGTACAGCCTGTATTTGGAGGAGGGCAAGGGGTCAGACCCTAAAGGAGTTGCGAGAGCCTTAAGCCTCAACACTGATGAACTGAGGGATGAGTACAGGTAGAGTCAACTCTTACAGCATTGTATCTTCTGAGGAAGACGGGTTGACTTTAACCACCATGCCTGGAGCGAATGGCTTCGGCAACGGCAAGATCCACACGAGGAGAAAATGCCGGAACCGGTTCGTGAAGAAGAATGGCCAGTGCAACGTTGAGTTTACCAACATGGATGACAAACCTCAAAGGTATATCGCAGACATGTTCACAACGTGCGTGGACATTCGTTGGAGATATATGTTGTTACTCTTCTCCCTCGCCTTTCTGGTCTCCTGGTTGTTATTTGGTCTTGTTTTTTGGCTGATAGCACTCGTGCACGGAGATCTGGAGAAGCCGATGGGCGACGAAACGTTCACACCTTGCCTGCTGCAAGTGAACGGCTTTGTCGCCGCTTTCCTGTTCTCCATCGAGACTCAGACGACTATCGGCTATGGGTTCCGTTGCGTGACGGAGGAATGCCCTCTAGCCGTCTTCATGGTTGTCCTCCAATCCATTGTGGGGTGTATAATAGACTCTTTCATGATTGGTGCAATCATGGCAAAAATGGCTAGGCCCAAGAAAAGGGCCGAAACCTTACTCTTCAGCCATCACGCTGTCATCGCCATGAGAGACGGCAAGCTTTGTCTGATGTGGAGGGTGGGTAATCTTCGAAAGAGCCATATTGTTGAAGCTCACGTACGAGCTCAGCTAATTAAGCCCCGCATCACCGAGGAAGGGGAATACATCCCACTTGACCAAATAGATATTGATGTCGGGTTTGATAAAGGCTTGGACCGTATATTCTTGGTGTCTCCTCTCACCATCCTTCATGAAATCACTGAAGAAAGCCCTCTGTTTGGGATTGGCCGGCAGGATTTGGAAAACGATGATTTTGAAATCGTGGTCATCCTGGAGGGTATGGTGGAAGCCACCGCCATGACAACCCAAGCCCGGAGCTCCTACTTGTCCAGCGAGATCCTTTGGGGCCACCGCTTTGAGCCTGTCTTGTTTGAGGAGAAAAGCCAATACAAAGTGGACTACTCGCACTTCCACAAGACCTACGAGGTCCCGTCGACCCCCTGCTGTAGTGCCAAGGACTTGATGGAAAACAAATTCCTCCTCCCGAGCACCAATTCCTTCTGTTACGAGAACGAACTGGCCTTCATAAGCCGCGACGAGGAGGAGGAGGAGGAGGAAGATGATGACAGTAGGGGCTTGGATGATCCAAATTCAGACACTCAACCTGAATTCGACAGGCTTCAGGCTACAGTGGCCCTCGATCAAAGGTCATACAGAAGGGAATCGGAAATATGACCCCGGGGCCCTGTAACTGTTTCCTGAGGGCACCCTTCTCCTCTGTTCCTCTTCCCCTACTAAAAAAAAATTTAAATTATGCAGAACAATGCAAGTGCCATAGGGATGCCTGAGAATTAGTTTGGTATGTAATTTTGGGTTGGTTGTGTTTGTTTGTTTGCTTTAGTTTCATTGCAATAACCACTGAATGGCCAAGGCAGGGGGATCTCAAGGGGCCTCAAAGTGTTGTAATCGTACAGTATTAATAAAGCTGCTTAGACAGTATTGGAGGGCAGAGTCAATACGGAGAGACCCAGTGCTTGACCTGGATACTCTGCATAGAAGCTCAGGCTGCAGATAGAGTGAGAGATTTAGATTTAGTCCCCCTTCCGAGAAAACGGAGGTAAAAGGAAGAAGAATATGTCAGCAAAGAAAACCTTGTGCATGTTGTTGTTTTAAAAACTTAACAAAACATGTTATAACTAAATACAATTATAGACGTTAACTGCCAGGAGATGTGATTCAGTTGCACTAGATGAACACTTGAAGTTATGCACCCTAATGTACCCCTTTTCAATTTAGGGGAAAGAAAAGGGGTATGTATTTTTCCAACTTCCCTCTTGGGAAACTGCTTACCAAAAAGGTTTGGTTTTTTTCCACCAGAAATGTGATTACTTTTTAAAGAAGGGAGAAATGGGAATGGAGCTGGCATTGTACCAAGCTGCCGTGGGTCAAGGATGTTTATTTTTGAAGATGAATATTTTCTTCTAGGAAAACATTTCAGGTATTTTCATCATCCAGTGGCCTAAAAAAAAAAAATCAAGGGGAGCTTTCCCACAAACCATATGGAGGAACTTAAAAAACACACCAACATTTGTAAGGGAGGGGGTATTGTTGAGAACTTCCCAGATCTCACTGCCCACTGATTCTCCCCGCAAATGGGGACCCTCTGAGATATTTCTCTCCAGTCAGGCTGCAAGACTTGAAGTAAGTCTGATGAAGTTATTGGGGAATGGTCCTTGGTGTGTTGGAGGGAGGATGGGATAGGCTAGCAAGGGTCAAAAGGTATGAGAAAGACTAAGAACTCCTCTTTCCACCCATCAATTCTTCCCTAGAAATATCCTCCCCACATTAACATCACCTCATGAAATTCAGAATGTCAGTTTGCTGAGGTAACATATGGTTTTCCCCTTAGCTAATAGAAAACTAGGCCTTGTTTGGCAGAGGCTGTTGTTCCGTAGATTTTCTGATAGATTTCAAGGATAATTAATATATTTGTAGGGGGGGGGGGATTACTTTCCAAGAAGGAATGTGTTGACCTCTTTAATGTTCTGCACCCTGTTTTTGTCCCACCCCCATTTTTTGACTACCCAACAAAAAAGGACCAGATCTTCAACCAGTATGAAGATCTCGTGTCGTTCTGTCAACATCACTGGAAACTCAATCACTGGGTGCCCGTTTGGCTGGCATCTCCTCCTGTCAAAATAGATGAAACAAAAGGGGCTGACAGGAAAAATATTTTCCTTAAAGAGAAGCTACTCGCGAGCTTTTTTTAAAAAAAACATGGATCGTCTGCTTTCTCTGAGGTAGTCAGAGGAGTTGCCAACTTTTCAATCGACTCCTTTCAGCTGTGCCTGACAGCAGCTTCAAATGCAAACAATAGCAGGCTGTAATGCTGACACTGCCAGTTGACTTCTGTATGTCAAACCACTGTAAAAAGGGACAAGTGTTGTTTTGTCCTGGTTAGTTGGCAACACTAATGGTCAGTGGACTGCCTATGTATGCCTTTATCCCCAATACGGGTATGGAACCCAGAAAAGGTAATACAGTTGCAGAGCTTCCCCAGCTGTTACCTATCAGCAAACCCTTACAAAACCAAGCCCCTCCCAGTCCAGAATGGACTTAAAACACTGGGGGGAAAGGAGGGATATGCCCTTTATCACCAGTCAGTATCCATCATCTCAGGGCAAAATCTGGACTCACTTTGCATCCTGATTTTTTTCTTTTAAACTGAGCCACAGAGAAGTCTGACTCCTGGATTTTTGCAATAATACTCTTTTGAGACTTTTTGATAATTTCTAACATCTTCCCTTGTAGACCACTTGGAGGTGACTTTAATGGAATGTCAGGGTAGAAGTCCTTTAAAATATATGGCTCGACTGAGTTCTTCACATAATAGTTAATTAAATCTGCCCTGGTGGCAGGCGTACCGAGGTGCTGGTCAGCTCATGAGAATCGCAAAAGCGGGCCAACCCTCAGATGTATAGACCAGTTTTAAATTTAGGGAAAATATTTCCTAGAGGACCATGTGTACATTTCCAAAGATTTACATTCATTCTTTTGAGGCTCTTAAAATTACTTCCCCCCTCTCCATAACTATGAAGATGAAGCACGGGGGGGGGGGATATTTCATCTGTAAATTTATGCCTGCCACAAAGCTGTTAAAAGCTTTATAAGAAGAAAAAAAGACCCCTTTCTCTGGGGACAATTGTGATTATCTCTGTCCATGCATATAGCTCATAACCAAGCCTTTTAACAAAGTCTCTTTCTTGATTGTGCTTTCCGAAATATATATATTTTAAAAATCTTACCAATGTTTCACAGTGTTGCAGAACTTAAAAGGAAAACAAACTCCAACCATTTAAATTGTGGGTCTGGCAACTATTATTTTGTTGATTGATTGATTGATTTTTTCATATTTATATTCCGCCCTCCCCGTGAACAGGCTCAGAGTGGATCACAACAGATAATTAAGCCATTCGGCATCACAAAACTCAATAATAAATAGTTCATTAAAACATTTAAACAAGGAATTTAAAACAGATCACACCAGTTATTGCACAGTCTCCGATACTGGTGCCGCTGGATTCTAGGTTTGTTTAATCTGGGCTGTGTGGATGTGCCTTCATACTGTGCCTTCAGTATGGGGGTGACTTTTTTATTGGATGCCCACCACCTCAACCAAAGGCCTGGCAGAACAGCCCCATTTTACAGGCCCTGCAGATTGACAGACGGTCCCACAGGGCCCTGATCTCATGCAGGAGCATGTTCCGCCAGGCTGGGGCCAGGGCAGAGAAAGCCCTGGCCCTGGTCGAGGCTAAGTGGACATCCCTCGGGCTGGAGAAACAGGCAGTTTCAGAGGGTAGCCATGTTGGTCCACAGTAGAAAAGCTAGGTTCAAGTCCTGCAGCACCTGAGAGACAATCAAGAGTTCCGTGGTATAAGCTTTTGAGAGTCAACACTCCCTTCATCAGATACAAGTAGGAAAGGAGATCTCTGAGCCCTTGTATCCCAGTCAAAAGGTGGGAGGGGTGTTGCAAAGAAATGAGTCAGTATGCAGCTGTGTCCCCTTATTCACTAGGATGACCAAGTCGCCAGGCCTAACAACACCAGCCATACCATCTCAGGTTCATTCACTCGTTCATCTTTCAACGTTATATATGCCATCAAGTGACAGCAATGTCCTTCCCCTCTCTACATTGAACAGGTCAGTCTCTGTGCAAAAGAATAAATGGGCATAAATCTGACAAAAGCCAAAATGTCCAAAAGCCAGTGGGGGGAATATTTTAATCTTCTAGGACTTTCCACTGCTGACCTAAGAATGGCAGTCCTAAAACAGAGACGCTTCAAGGAGATCACAACAGGAGACTGCTGAACTTAAGTTCATTCACAGATTCAGAAGAATTGACCCCACAGGGCTGAATAGGGACACAGGATTCTTATCTGACTAAAGATGCTAATTTTCTGCCCCTAAGCAGTTCTCCCCTGCTGTAATCAAGCTGATAACATTTTGTGTTGTAAATTTGGGAGCCAGTTTAGTGTAGTGGTTAGGAGTGTGGACTCTAATCTAGGGGAACCGAGTTTGATTCCCCACTCCTCCACATGCAGCTGCTGGTGTGACCTTGGGTCAGTCACAAGCTCTTTCAGAGCTGTTATCTCAAGAGCAGTTCTCAAAAGAGCTCTCTCAGCCCCACCTACCTCACAGGGTGTCTGTTGTGGGGAGGGGAAGGGAAAGGAGATCGTGAAGGGCAGGGTATAAATCCAATCTTTTCTCTTCTTCTTCCTCTTCCTCTTCTTTCCTGGCTCCCTTATTTGCAACATCCCTCCCTCCTGACTGGGATATATGGGCTCAGGGATTGCCATTCCTACTTGTATCTGATGAAGGGAGCTTTGACTCTTGACAGCTTGTACCCCAAAAATCTTGCGAGGTCCTACTGTATTCAAATCCAGCTCTGTTAGCAGGGAGAGGGCCCAACTTTTCCAAAAGTGCTACTAACGTAACCCTAATATTAGGCAGGGAATAAATGGCTTCACCAAGACAGCCGACTCTGGGGGCCTTGGAAAACATAGAAAACTGAGAATTATATTTTTTTTACTATTTGTATCATAATGTGGAGGGGCAACGGGTACCATCTAGAATTTTTGGCCTCAGACATCCAAATGTCTTGGGCTGACTCTGTTATATCTCCCTCCTTTCCATCAGAGCATCCTCTACTGCAGAGGAAGTTCTAAACTGAAAACAGCAGATGAAGCCAAACCACATGATTTTATTTTCCCGGCTTATCCTAACTCCCAAGGCTCTGCATGGACTGTGCCTTAAGAGATGTAAAAACCATCCGGCTACACAAAGCTGTTTGTCATGAGACCCAAAACCACATATAGCGTCTCTTTTTTGTGCCCTCCCCGCCCCTCCTTCTCCTTGTTACTTCTGAGTAATGCTGTGTTCTCCCCCAGCCATACGGGATGTCACGTGTTGGTCCATCTAGATGAAGGCATGCAACCGAGCCACAGAGCAGATCGTAAGCAATAAAATGTGGTTCGCCCAGCACACACGTTACGAGCATCTATCGATCCCTTCCTCCCTGATCTGTTGTTTTGCAAAAGGTCTCGCACTGGCTGGATTTGCCTGGGAGCAAAGTCTGCCAGAAGGTGAAGGACATCATATTGTCCTGTGACAGTCTGCAAAGGGGGGGGGAGGAAAGGAGCTGGTCTAAAATTAGAACTGAGTCACTCACAGGGCCTGCATGAATCAGGGTTGCCAACTGATTAAGAGACAGCCTGGCCTGCCTTGGTGCTTCTAACAGCAGCCGCAGAAATCAGCCAATGGGCAGCTTCTACGGACAACGCTGCTATTGAAGGCACAGCAGCAGGGATGGGTAAAAACAATTGGCAACCCTAGTGGAGATTTTTTTGGGGGGTGGAGCCTGGGAAGGGTGGGGTTTAGGGAGGGGGACCTCAGCAGGGTATAATGCCATACAGCCCAACCTCCGAAGCAGCCATTGTCTCCAGGGGAGCCGATCTCTATAGTCTCAAGATCAATTGTAATTCTGGGATATCCTCAGGGCCTACCTGGAGATTGGTAACCCCAACCCCCAGCTATCACATGCACTAAATATTATGATTGCTGAATGACTCCATGTTAGTTTAGGAGCTGGTGGCTGCGGTTGCACTACTAGCTTATACCCCTTTAACAATCATGGCTTCTCCCCCCCCAAAGAATTCTGGGAATTGCAGTTTGATTAGGGTGTTCTTTTGACAGTTCCTGACACATTGCACATGTGCACACAGGCACACACATAACCTGTGTTTAGGTAAAGAGAATCACTGGTTGCTTCTGTATGGAGGGAATTCTTCTTTTTGCATCTATTGCTGCTGTGAACGCAAAGGCGACGAGACTTCCATGAGGTAGTTTGCTGTGCACTGCCCTCTGTCAGCTGCCATTTCCCTTGACGTTTGTTCTCACCACATCAACAAAGACTTTTTAAAAATGTGTAACTGCTAGAGCGATTACCTTTTTAAAAAAAAAAAAAAAAGTATTCTGGTGGTATGACAAAGAGAAGTCGCCTAGGTGGCTGACAGAGGAAAATAGCACCTTACGAAATGCACATCTTCCCTTCCAAATGGTGGGATAACGTGCTTGCCCTATGCTCTTTCCAAAAAGATCAAGGGAAAGCGGGTTTGGGAAAGAACATCCAGAAGATGGGTGTGCCTGGAACACCATTAGAGCATGAAATCAGGTGGATACTTCCCTCCCCTTCCTGAAAAAATAAAATCCCTTTCCCAGTTTGGATGGCAAAGCGGAGAAAATCCTCTATGTGGAAGCAACCCGTCAAACCAGTCTAAATCTGGATGGGTAGCCATGTTAGTCTGTCTGTAGCAGTAGAAAAGAGGAAGAGTCCAGTAGCACCTCAAGCACTAACAACATTTGTGGCAGGGCAGGAGCTTTCCTGAGTCATGGCTCACTTCTTCACGAAAGCTCCTACCCTGCCACATTTTCTTTTTTAGTCTTTGAGGCGCTACTGGGTTCTTGCTCTTTTCTACAGCCTAAATCCTGAGCAACATAAGCCCAAAGATCACATACCTTTGCAGCCAACTGGTCAAACTAATGTGCAGATTTGGAGTCGATGTAGAAATCAGTCTAAACTCACAGAGGTTTATTTCCATTTGGAAGCCGGCCTAGCCATTTTGTGTTCTTACAGTGGAAGAAAGAATAAGCCAAAGTCCAATCCACCCCTTCTTGTCTAATTTTCTATTAAGATGTCCTTTTACTTGACCCCAATAGACTGCTTTCTATCCCACACGCTCGGCAGAAGGAGGTGGTATTTATTGAGTGTATTATTTATTTTTTTAAAGCGGATTTTAAGGGTGTGTATTTTTAAAAAATGAATAAAAAGGGGAAACATTGCTGCTCGGGGGAGGGACGGTTTTCCTCTGGGAATGAATTTCTAAGTGTATATCATAGTAAATATTTGTAAAAAGAAAAGAAAAAAATTCTTTAAATTATTGCTTTTTAAATTATATTATATAATTGGTACAGTCCAGTCAGCAAGACTAGAATAATATATACATTGTATTTTTAAGACTACTGCTTAGATCAACATGAAATCATTTGTAGGAAAGCCATGCAGATCAACTAAATCTCAAGATAACTGTTTTCCTTTCAATAATCCCTTTCCTGGTTAAGATCTAGCTATGAGAATACTATTATATAAAATGTATAGCTCTAGAGACTGAATGTGCTGTTACATAATGTATAAATATATATATATATATTTTTGGCCTACCTGTGAGTGCTATAGTTGATCTTTCTTTCCATTAGGGAACAATCTCGTAATTAACTCTACATAAGAAGCTAGAGTTACCCACCTTTGTTCCCAACTGTATATGTAAACTAGTGTAAGATTTCATTCCTGCCATCTTCAGTTTCTAAAGAACTATCTCCAAAAGGAGGATTATGCCAGATGCCTTAAAAACCTATCCTGCTAATTTGAATAGGCAGATGGTCTATAGGGAGATTTGGCAGGAGGTGGGATCTGTGCCAGGGCTCCCAGATCTCATGGAGTCTGTGGAAACTTTTGGAATTTTGAGAATGCGGAGTGGGTCACACCACAAAATGGC